TGTGTGTTTTGCTTTTTTTTTTAATCAACGAAATGGACATAACGCTTGGGTTTGTTTATAGGTCTACCGGAGCGTGTTAAACAAGGGGGCTTAGTATTAAGTTTTTTATCCTCCATTGGTTGTTCAGTCGCTGGTGGGAGGGGTTGATTATCAACGGCGTTGTCTTCCTTGACTTGAGTAGCTTCACAGAAAGCAGGTTTTATTCTGTCTATAGAAATAGTCTGCTTGTTGCCATCTCTGTTGACGATGAAGTATTTTTGTGTGCGTTTAATTACTTTATATGGACCTTTATATGGTTGTTTCAATGGTTTTTTAACCGTATCTACTCGGACAAAGACAAATTTGCACGTTTCAAGGTTTTTATCAAGTTGGACTCGATTGTTGTGTTCACGAGGGGGTATTGCTTTAATATTCTGCATAGTTTGTAATAGGCGACTTGCGAAGTGAGTAGTCTCTCCTGGCGTTGTAGGTTCATAGTTGACTAGTTGGCCAGGTAACGTTAGAGTTGTACCATAGACTAACTCGGCGGCTGTACATCCAATGTCTTCCTTTATGGTTGAACGAATACCGAGGAGTACAAGTGGTAATGCGTCACTCCATTTGGTTGTATCATCTTGGGCCATCAGCGAGCTTTTTAATTGGCGATGAAATCTTTCAACCATGCCATTAGCTGCTGGGTGGTAAGCTGTTGTTTTGATGTGGTTCACGCCCAGAAGTCTTGTAAATTCCTGAAACAAGATAGACTGAAACTGGGGACCACGGTCTGTAGTGACGATAGACGGTACTCCGTAATTTGCTATCCAACGCTCAAGGAAAACGCCAGCTATCGTTTCTGCGGAAGTGTCTTTTATAGGGCAGGCTATGGCCCATCTTGTAAATCTGTCTACTGCGGTGAGAATGTGGGTAAAGGAATTGGACGGGGGCAGTGGCCCAACTAAATCCAAATGAATATGTTGAAAACGTTTGTCGGGAATAGGAAATTCGCCGATCGGGCTGATAGTATGTTTTTGTATTTTGCTGCGTTGACACTGGAGGCAGCTACGTGTCCAACGCTTAACGTCCGAGTTGATTTTCGGCCACACAAAACGTTCAGTGATGAGCCTTGTTGTTGCTCTGATGCCTGGATGTGAAAGACCGTGTAAGTGCTGAAATATTTTTCGTCTGCAGGCATGTGGGACAAACGGACGATTGCTGCCTGTTGAGGTGTCACACATGATGAATGCATCTGAAAGCGGAATTGGTACAGGTTTGAGGTTTAAGCTAGACTTTTCTTTGCAGACTTTCAACTCTGCATCGTCTACTTGAAGTTTAGCCAAAGTTTCAAGGCTGATGTCATGATTGCGTACCATCATATTGATATCTCTCCTAGACAGTGCATCAGCGACAATGTTTGAGTGACCGTTGATAAACCGGATGTCTGTAGTGAATTGGGAGATGTAATCCAATTGTCTTGCTTCTCGTGGCGAGTGTTTGTCATACGATGTGCCAAAAGAATGGCGAAGGGGTTTATGATCCGTCATAATGATGAAATCGCGACCCTGTAACAGAAAACTGAAATGTTTTACCGCTAAATACATAGCCAAGAGTTCGCGTCCAAAAGTGCTATAACGTTCTTGTGTTGGTGATAATCTCTTGGAGAAAAAGGCGATTGGGGTAATCGAGTTGTTTACTCGCTGTTGTAATACCGCCCCGACGGCTTTTTGTGAAGCGTCTGTGCATAGGATCAACTGTGTTGTGGGGTCAGTATTTAGATGTTGAAGCATGGTAGCATTAGCAATCATGGATTTAGCTTTTTCGAATGCTACTTTAGCATCAGAAGGTAACTTAAATATTTGGTTTTTTTCTTTCTTGGTACCTGATTTATCATTTTTCAGTAAATCTGTCAATGGCTGTAGTACATCGGCGCAATTTGGTAGAAATCGACGATAAAAATTGCATGTTCCCAGAAAACGACGTAGTGATTTTACTGAGGTTGGTTCTGGGTAGCTGGAGATGGCTTTGACTTTTTCTTCAAGCGGTTTAATTCCTTGGGAATCAATATGGTGTCCTAGGAATTCCAGAGATGGGGCTCCAAATATGCACTTCGAAGGGTTGATTACAACACCATAACTTTTGAAACGTTCAAACAGCGTGTGTAAATGCTGGACATGTTCTTCAATGGAAGAACTAGCGATTAAAACGTCGTCGATATAGACAAATACAAATTCCAAACCTCTAGTTACTTCATCCATATATCTCTGAAAGGTTTGAGCGGCGTTTTTTAGTCCGAAAGGCATCCTCAAAAATTCAAACAAGCCAAAAGGTGTTATTACAGCTGTTTTTTCGATATCTTCAGGCGCCATCGGTATTTGATGGTATGCTCGTACTAGATCTAACTTTGAAAAAATCTGTTTTCCATGTAAATTTAAAGAAAAATCATGTAAATGAGGGATTGGATACCTGTCTGGGATAGTCTGGTTATTTAGTCGGCGATAATCTCCACATGGGCGCCAGTCTTGATCTTTCTTGGGAACCATATGCAACGGCGAGGCCCAAGGACTGTTAGATTGTCTGATTATCCCAAGCTGCATCATGTGTTCGAATTCTCTCTTAGCGAACTGCAACTTGTTTGGTGGGAGTCTTCGCGCCCTAGCACGAATGGGTGGTCCTGTAGTAGAGATATTGTGTTGAACATGATGTGTGGAGCATTCGTTTTGGTAATCAGTTCTGGTTATGCTTTCGTACTTCGACAGGATATCAGTGAAAATTTTGTTTTCAGGTCTTAACATTCGAACACCATGAATTTCGTAATTCGAGGCAGGAGTGCCACTGACCTGCAAACTTGTGTTCTTGTCAATAAGCTTCTTTTTCCCCATGTCTACCAATAGGCTGTAAGCACCAAGAAAGTCGGCCCCGAGAATGGGTTGTTTAATTTCAGCTACGATGAAAACCCATGTGAAACGTCTACGGAGACCAAAATCTAAGATGAGTGATTGTTCACCATAAGTTTTAATGACTGTGTTATTAGCAGCGACTAGAGACAATTTAGTACTTTGCGAGTGCCGTCGTTGAGAAAGGTGTAATGGGACTATGCTGATTTCGGCTCCTGTATCGACCAAAAAATCTGAGCCCGAAATCCGATCCCTGACGTGAAATAGACGGCTCGGGTAGTGGCCAGAAACAGGCGCCGCCATCACTGTCTGGCCGTCTCGTTTCCCTGGTCCTTTGGGTTGCTTATTTTAAAGTTGCATGGTTTAGTGCAACGGCGTGCCTTCTCCCCGAAAGTCGCGTGATACCAGCAAGTATCTGATGTCCGTTTGGGTGACCTAAGACGAGGTCTGGATACTGATCTCCTTCTGGACCTAGATCTGGCAGGTCGAGAATGGATGGTAGAAATAGTCGCTTGTAGTGCTGCTAGCTGTTGTGTTAACTGTGTTATTTGTTGTTGGATGCTGTTAGATGGGCTAATCGTGTCTCCACTAGAGGTCTGTAGTACATTCAAACGTTGGCTGTCGGGATAAATCTCCATCATTTTGTCAGCCATATCAGCTAGATCGTCGAGATTGACGGAAGTTCCTGATATGCTGAGAATTTGGGTGACATTCTGTGGTAAACGTTGAAACCACATCTGTTTAAGCAATGCATCGTCTACCTTATATGGCCCTGCTAAGTGTTTCATATGTCGGAGTAATTGCGAGGGTCTCTTGTCCCCCAATTCGCAAGAAGTTAGCAATTGCTGCAGTCTTCTCTCATCTGAAACCGAGGTGCGTTGGATTACGGCTGTCTTTAATTTATCATAAGGTTCAGCTTCTGGCACGTGATCGATTAAATCTCCGACTTCCGCAGCAATCTCGATAGGGAGTGCCCCAACTACATAAGCATACTTTGTTGCCTGAGATTTTATACCTCTAGCCATGAACAAAGCTTCGATTTGTGCAAACCAGATTCTTGGATTATTAACGCCGAACGTTGGTAGTCTTAAGTCTAAAATTGCGTTGATCGAGGTTAAGGCATTATCTTCTGACTGTGAAGAGTTAAAGGAGTTGATCAGTGGACTATCTATATCAATGAGTTTACCAGGAGAGTTCATGATGGCAAAAACAAATATAAATGAACTAGCGTGCCAAGTAATAAAAAAAATGAATATATATATAAACAGTAAACGTCTATAATGAATTCAAGGCTCACCAAATAATTGTGGTGGACCAAACAGATATGAACACAAAAAAATATAAACAAAGTTATTAAAATCAATAGTAATATTAATATATATAATTAATTGTCACAAATACAGTAAAAATTGGGGACGTTACTTAAATTGATCAGACGTCGCGTGTTAGGGTTAGGTCCAGTAAAGTAAATCCACAATTATAAATGTTTGTTGATTCTGAACAAGTTGGTGAACTCTCTAATGATATAATCCAACGTTGAATGTGATATATTTCGGTTACAGTCTATAAATGAAGATAGAATTTGATTTAGACTTCGGATATCTCAATCACAAATGGAAATAGAACGATGAGTGTGCGAGAAGCGTTGTATTTGTTAGCTAGCAGCGGTATGGCACGCAATGTAGTAGTACAACGGAAAGTGTGTTCAAGGTCATTTACTAAAACAACAGTTACAGTCATTTAATGTTAAATATACATACAGTGGAAGGTTGACAAAGTAAATACAAATAACATTGAAAACTATTTACAAAATAAGCTTGACAGGTCCATCTCCACAAAGCCTTTAATAAAATGGTTTCAAGAAGTTTTATTTACCCTTAATCCTGTGGTCGTTTTATCTAAAGAAGTTAAGAAAAGTGTTTCATAGTGAGGAGATTCCTCACAGTAACCCATCATTTTACTAGTATCACTACACATTTTAACTCGTAGCGATAAAGTTTATCTTTGCATAGTTGGGTGTCAGAGAACGAAACTGAATAGTCCTCTGTCTCTAGATATTACGTCTGGACTAGCAAAAGTATGTTGATTCCTTAGTAATCAGTCCTTTTTGATGTTGTTTAAACATTTCAGTTGGAGTTTTTTCTCGTAAAGCGGGTTCTTGATCTGGCTCCAACGTGTACTTTAATTTAAGGTTTATTTTCCATATTGAAGAATGCCAATGAAGCTTGATATTAAGAGAAAGCTTCTATCCAGATCTGATCGAGTTAAATCCGTGGATTTACATTCAACAGAACCATGGATTTGTGCTGCACTCTATAATGGAAATGTGCATATATGGAATATCGAGGCTCAGCAGTTGATAAAAACTATCGAAGTTTGTACAAACCCTGTTCGCGCTGCGAAATTTGTTGCTCGCAAAAACTGGATAGTTACAGGTTCTGATGACATGCAGGTTGGTTTCAAATAAGTCTACAACCATGATATCATGGTCAATAATAGCAAAATCGTTATTATTTTTTAACTGACAAGTTAGTGGGGTTAATGTATGCAACCGAAATCAATACAATAGCTTGGTTCACCTTTTTTCGGTTTTGTGCTTTGAGTGTGCTGGTTCCTCATTCAGCTTAAGGCTTATTGTTTACTTTTTCTATACAAAATGATCCGTTCCTTCCCCTCATTCAGCAACCATTCTTGCCGCATAAGATAGCAAGATTATTTACGCCACAAATTTTCCAAATTTGAAATTCCGTGAAATAGGAAACGGGCCGCCTATTTCACTTGTATTCTTATTATCCTAATTATAGTTTCATTTAATTAATTAATTACTATGTATAACTATATTTCTAACTTCTGAATACTTTTTGTTTTCAACTTGTCATAATTTTAAGCGATGTGAATCGACATAGTAGTGTCTAGTTCTATATTGAATAATAAATGTTAACGATGGATTTCACCAGATTCTTTTCTCTCGTTTAGTTCGTATGTTCATGTTTTTGCTGAAAGTTCATCCTTTGAATATTATCTGCAGATAATCGTCATTTGTAGTCCGAAATTTTAGGATTAGATTTTATCACGGTACAGATGCGTATTTATTTTCTCCTGAGTTTTGGTGTTTCAAATATTGTATCATACTTCTTGCCCATTGATTTCATGTGTTCCCTCCGGGCAGGTTGTCTTATCAACATGAACACTACTATGATTACGGACTTCTTGTTTTCTCTTTGCTGTGCTGAATTTGATGACTTGAACTAGTGTACGTTTGTTCCACATCATGCTTTGTCAATGACTGACTAATTAATAACATTCATAAATTTTAAATGCTTTTGAGTGCTTTTTGTCATTGCAAACTTCGCGCTTTGTCAGGTTTTTCATTTTAGCTGTGTCACTTATACTATTTTCTTCATACTTCTAACTACAGTTGCGAGTTTTCAATTACAATACTCTTGAAAGAATTCAACAAATAGAAGCACATTCTGATTATATACGATCCATTGCTGTGCATCCTACTCAGCCATTTATCCTCACATGTTCAGATGATATGCTTATACGTTTATGGGACTGGGAAAATAACTGGACATGCGCTCAGGTATGTTTTAAATTTATCTAGCAAACATTGTGTCTTGTTAATTGATTTGTTAAATAATTTAATACAGGGTAAAATGGGTAATCGGAGATGTAATTCAGTAGACTAAATTGTATTTCACATATTTAAACCTACTTCACTGACGTGGCTATGAGTAGCAGGACAATATTGTTATTGTCTACTACTCTACAACTGTATTTTTCACGATTCTGATACGTGTAGAAAGTGGAGTAAGTAAACACAATTAGGACGATGGAAAAGATCGATTTAATAACACGATGTAAGCTTCTAGTCGCTACGCAAACACTGATATCAACGCAAGACAACATAGTTCGTGAATGCGACGCAACTACTCTTAAATGCTGTTTATTTATTTATTTATTTCAACACATAGATAATGGTACAAAGAGGCACCAAATACATATGCGCCACACAAATCTCATTCGATATGTGTGAGGGCTGTGATGCTGCCCGGGTGCCCAAACCGAAACAGGTGGATTTCTTAGGGGGCCCCCCGAGCCTTCGACCTGAAGGTCTGATCCACAAGGCAGTGGAGCATCGTAAGGAGATACAGTCCCATGGAAGCCGGTGACCAACAATTGGTTCATTCGACATTTTTTCCCGCAGGATACTGGAGCCTATGTGCACCATTTGTTTGGAATCCGGTTAAAGCGCCGGACATTCGCTTTTCGTCCTCTCATTTTTGTAAACAACACCTCTGCCACGAGAAGGCAGTGAGTAGGACTTCCCTGGCAGAGGCTATATACGCGTGGCCGTGTGAGAGTATTTCGAGAGGGAGAACGGACTCTCCCCACTCTCGGCCGTACCACGGCATATATATATATATATATATATATATATATATATATATATATATATATATATATATATATATATATATATATATATATATAAATTGTAACTGTAATATTATGCCATAGTTTCCATTCCTTAGTCTTAACTGATGTAAAGCAGAATATCGCTTGGTGTTCAGTTGGAAAAGGGTTTTCTACCTTAAGGCTTAATAACGTTCCTATATTAGTCTGTTCGAATTGTCTAGTAAATCTGAAAACTAGTGGAGTGAATCATACTAGCTCATTACATTTGTCAACTAAAGTTTGATAAATAATTGCACTTACATTTCTTATGTGTTTCTCAGAAATACATGAATTTGTGAGCTGTTAGCTTGCTACCTGTTTGACGTGACTTCTATACATAGAGGGGTCTAGTTTATGTTTATCAATGTGACTTGAAGGGATCGAGAGTCGTATTTCCTAGTCTCATTTGACTGGCTACAGGTATGGAGTGAAAAGATGTAGAAGTTGTTGTAGTAATGTTGGTAATAGCAGGCAATACTGAAGGCAACTAAATCAACAAAGAATAAATATAACGCTTGGCAAACAGGATATGTATCTTTTCTGTTTCACTCGTACCATTTTATTACTACTGTTGGGGCTGTTAACGTATTCTTGTAGTACCTAGAAAGGAAAATACATTGCCGTTGCATTACCACATAACCCAAGGTACATCTGCCTTATTTAACGAAATGTTAGAATGTTCGTTTGTTTCCTTTATAACTAGTACAATAAATGAAACGGTTGAAGTTTGTTAACAAGAACTATCTTGTACAAGTCACATTTTGGAGTAATCATATTTATGTTTCACATTGATATGTGTTTATCATTTCGTTATTTCAGGTGTTTGAGGGTCACAATCATTATGTTATGCATATAGCATTCAATCCAAAGGATAATAACACGTTTGCTAGTGCTTCTTTGGATCATACAGTCAAAGTGTGGAGCCTGGGCTCAGGTACTCCAAACTTCACTTTAGAAGGTCATGAGAGAGGAGTCAATTGTGTAGATTACTCTACATCCGGTGATAAACCTTATTTGGCTAGTGGATCAGATGATAGAACTGTGAAAATATGGGATTATCAAACTAAAGCATGTGTTCAAACTCTCGAAGGTCATGCTCAAAATATCAGGTAGTCAATTATAGATTTCTAAAAATAACTATATATATGCTTGGTAAAGAAATATCTAAGATGCTTATAAGTTCGGGCTTCTCAAGTGCACATTAACTTATCGTTTGAAGATTTCTCAGTCGAATTATTTAGCAGCAGTTGTCTAATATGACACTAAATAGAACCTGTTCACCCTGTGTTTTGCATCGCCTAGCATACTAGTTCATCATCTCTGTCATAATAAGTTTCAGTATGTTATCAAGACTAATAAAGTTTTAGCTACTTTTCCATATTTCTGATAAATGGTTTACAGCAAAATCGATCTGCAAACTGTATTTATATATAGAGATGTTTACTATTAAATTTAACACCCAGTGTACCCTTCCTTTAGAAATTGATATATCCTATTTGACACGGTTCATACTCCGTTATTCTTTTGAATAATCTTTCTGCTAAATTGTATTATTGTATTACTAGGAGTGCAGTTACGTGTTTGTTGGTGACTAGTTCCCTTTCTTCTGTATCTGTTTTTTAGCTCTGTTTTATTCCATCCTGAATTGCCAATAATTCTTACCGGGTCTGAAGATGGCACTGTACGATTTTGGCATGCTAACACTTATCGTTTAGAGTCAACATTAAATTATGGCTTAGAACGTGTCTGGACTATGACGTGTCAACGTGGTAAACAAATAGTTGGTATTGGTTATGATGAAGGTACTGTTGCTATATCTTTGGGTCGAGATGAACCTGCCATGTCTATGGATGCATCTGGAAAATTGGTTTGTGCTAGACATTCAGAGCTAGTTCAAGCTAATTTACGATCATTGAACTTCAGTGGGGATGGAAATGAAATGATCCAGGTAGATAAATAGATTTTTATGGGGAAAATTGTTCTCTTAATATGAAGGGATTGAAAAACTGCGTTTCTAACTGTATATGTAGATATTAGTCTGTATACATTGGGGACGTTATAAACTTGGAATTGTTGTGTACAAACAAGCTACACCACTCATAGGTCGTAACATCATCTTTAACTATTTCAAATAATGATTCATATAGTTGTACAGACAAATGACAGTGAAATATGTATTTCTTGTTATAACGGAACGTGTATTGAATACATTGAACACTTGGAATTATTTTGATGGACTATTATTATTTATACTATATAGTTATTAGATAATTGGATTGTTGTACTTCTGATACGTGCTTGAGATAAAGATATCGAACGCCTAATACATTGATAGTAGAAGCTTGCCTGGTGTGTCCTCCTGTCCAAACTCAAGATGAGTCAGAACAAAGTACACACGTCGGGGGATCAATGAGAGCTAAGATTATCTTGGCCTCGTCTCGAGGTTTATTTATTTATTCAAACACATAAACATAGGTACAAAAAGGCACCAAATAGATATACGCCACATTGATCATTCGATTTGTGTGAGGACTAGGATACTGCCCGGGTGCCCAAACCGAAGCAGGTGGTTTCTTTTGGGGAGCTACACCCCCCCCTCGAGGTTAATTTTGTCAGTTGAGTTATATCATTCATCAAAGCTTAGGATACTAGTTTATGAATGAAATAGTACACTCAGAGTAGAGGAATTGTAGCTAGGACTCTGATTAATGAATCTTCTTTTAATATCAATAAACATCTCATGCACATCATTTATGATGGAAATTCTCAATATATTTTGAATTATTATTATATTACTTCGCATTGAATTTATTTTCAATTCCAGGATGGTGAACGTCTTCCAGTTACTTTCAAAGATATGGGTACATGTGAAATATATCCACAAATTATTGAACATAACGCTAACGGACGTTATGTGGTTGTTTACGGTGATGGTGAGTACATAGTTTACACTGCTATGGCATTAAGAAATAAAACATTTGGTCAAGGATTAGAATTTGTATGGTGTCAATCCGATGCTGGAGTTTATGCTGTTCGTGAGAGTAATGCTGTTGTTAAGGTATATTATAATTGTTTTATTGTTAATTATATCAATAATTTGTTTTTAAAATGTAGTCCTTCATTTTAATGTAAACCTTTTTCTCAATCTGAAAAAGTCAGTCAACTACAACGTAGGACCAGGCGCTTATATGCATCTGTTCAAGTTACCACACCTCATTAGCACAACAAGATTAACAAATTCATAGTAGTCACTTCAGTGGTAGTAATGTATAATAAAAGATTGCATATTAGGATATAATACAGGAAGAAAGAATTAGTTCATAGAAAGAAAGATATAAAGCGTTTAGCTTTCTGAAAAGGTGAGGTCAAGTGAATGACTACGCTAGGATCGTGTATGTGTGTTTCGGAGACGCAGCATACATCAGTGGTACGAGATTCTAGAGTCTTGGCCAAGGAGGCCTGCTGGCCGATTTGACATAGGGTGCGTACGTTGAAGGTTCTAATGTGTAGTTTGGTGCGGGGTTTCAGTAGACCTGGGACAGTGTTTTGTGCACTAGAATCGTTGGTCATGGTGACACTTGAGGAGGAAGTGAAAAGAGGAAGTTTAATGTTGAAAGTCGACGTAGAAGGAATCATAGGGACTAAAGAAGAAGGTTGATTATGAATATAGTGCTTTTAAGTGCTGTTAGAGATGTGAGGGCGGTTATCAATTCCTGGTTGCCCACACCGTGGAAGGGTTCTTCTGGATGTACCTGAAAAGGAACTTGGATTAGAGATGATATTAATGACCTGATAGCGTGACCATAGTGCCCAAGGGACAACTGCTTGAGGTCGGTCACATACGACCTTTTTGTGAGTAATTTCGTGTTAACTCCGTACTTGTTGAGACCTTACTGCCGGAGACGGATATTCATGGGATAAGAAGGGGCGTGCAGTTTTAGGTTTGACCTTTTCTAACCCCACCCTTCCTTGTGGGAAGGCAGCATCGCTGTTATGCTTACTGACTGAAGTAAACACTTTACTACGTTCACACCTCTGTACAGTCAGCAGTACGACTTCAGACCTTAGGTTTGTTGCTTTTAGTCTTACCGTTCTTCAACCGACCTGTCTGGCATGTGGGGACCTTGAGGAACGATTGTTCCAGCCAGTATAGCTCGGTTGCTTCATCACGATAGGCAAGCCCGACCACCACGTCAAGGTAGCAACAACGGTCGGGCCTGAAACCATTATGTTTAACTGGTTATAGTGTTGATTGAGTAGTAGCCAGTTGAAAATAGTTATTGTTGTTTGATGTGCTTTTAAAGTAACAGAAGTTTTCAGCGTTAAAGAATTAAAACTGCTTGATTATATTATAGCTTTCGATTCAAAAGTATTCGTCTACAGTGTTAGTTTTAGTAGTAGGCTCTGAAGTTTTGATATTAAATATTAGTTCAGCCAACAACTACCTGATATTTTCGTTATTATACTAGTGCATCATGATAGTACCTAAATTTCGTGACTTTACTGTCTAAACTATGTTCGTATATTTAGGCTACTAATATGATGGACTAATTCATAAACCCAAATACACATAGCAATTGTGACTATGATGGGTTTATTGAAAGAAAAAGTTAAAGACGTCTCAAATGGTTTTTAAATATAAGAGACATAGAGATATAATGCAACGCATGTACCGGCCAAGTTAACATGCAGGTTGGTGAGGTATATAACAATTTAAAAATAGTAAACATGGCCAGAAACATAATTTTAAAGCTAAGTAAACTTACGGAACCTTAGGTAGGAGTATGACGAGTTAGAAAATTTACACAAAAAGTTCCTACATTTAGCCTAGTGACATTGACAAATATGTTGCAAAAGCAACTGGAACTGAGAAATGTCTTTAAACAACACACTTTTTATCAGAGTGGGTTTTGTGGAGATTTTTAGAAAATCTAGACCACCATGGTGGTCTAGCTTCAATTGACTCATGATTTCAACCAGTGAAACACTTTTTCTTCAGTCAGTAACAACATAGAACTTCGTACGTACGTACATCAGTTCGAGTTGCCATACCACATTTGCACAGACATGCAGTTGTCGATTCAAATCCCGTAGTGGTAGAGGCGGTAAGAGTATAAGCAGTAATCAGAAAGATTAGGGTTTGAAGATGTTATTTAAAGAGTATAATTCAGTGAAATAAATTTGGGAAGAAAAAAAAGAGACAAGGAGGATTCAGGAGACTAGCATTTGGGAGAACACAAAGAGTGGATGCACTTGCGCCATTGCAAATGATTTTGAGCCATGTCATTCGAGGTTTCTAACCATCGGTTGCTATCATCTTGCGGTCCCCAACCAGGTAGTCTACACCTACCGACATGTCTCAGTTCACTTGTCAGTGACTTGTGCCATGTTTTGGTCTGGTCGCCTCTAGCTTTCTTCCAACCTACTCCTATACCATAAAACATCGCAAGTCGGGACAGTCGGTGGTTGAGCATACGTAACACGTGTCCCAGCCATCTCAACTGATTAAGTTTGATTGCTTTATCAGTTGATTTGCCATCCTTACCTAGTACTCTTTTCCTAACAATTGCGTTACTTACACTTTTTCTTAATAGTATGATGTCTTACAAATGTATTAAATATTTCTTCTACCAAAAAAGTCTTGGGAGTGGCTCGTATGAAATATATACAACCAGTCTAACGGAGAAAAAATCTATGTAAGTTAAGAAGTGCTAAAAACATGGTAAATCAACCAAGAAAGGGAAAAAGGGTAAAACTCGCCTGGGTTATCTTCGCTTCCAAGTAATAAAAATTTGAATTAGACGATAGCTCGAATCTGGATTATGTACGAGGCACTGTTGATTAAATTCTTTGATTAACACAGCGTTGTAGGCTGAACTTGTATAAGTTCAAAATTAATCGAAGCCGAATACGTAGCATTGCCTGGCGAAAAGTCTAAACGAGAGACACATATCTACCTCAGTACAATGGAAGATGGTCGCTCAACTTTGTGAATTGGTTGAGGTTAGATATTAACAGCATTGGATGCCGACCGACTCAGTCGTCTAGAGGTTAAGCGTTCGCGCATGAAACTGAATGCTCTGGGCTGAAATCCCACGAGCGGAACCGTGGATGCGCACTGCTGAGGAGTCCTACAATAAGATGAAACGGCCATCCAGTGCTTTGAGGTTTTCATTGATGGTGTAACATCAATCGGTTCATGATCTCAATCAATAACTTAATAACCTTCACAACCCTATACTGTTTAAAGAAATATTGTATTATATTACTATGAATTATATTTCTGAATTCAATATCATCATCATTATCATCATCTTCTTGACTGAAATGTGTAATATTATCTTTTCTACTAAGGTTTACAAACAAATGAAAGAGGTTCGTACATTTAAATTAGATTATGGTGCTGAACAAATATTTGGTGGACATTTATTAGGTGTACGTTCATTAACTGGTTTAACATTTTATGATTGGTTAACTGGTCGAATTATTCGACGTATTGATAATAATCCAAAAGGTGTTTATTGGAATGAATCTGGTCAATTAGTAGCATTATGTACAAATGATACATTTTACATATTACGTTATTCAGCTGATGCTGTACCAGATTCTAATTTGCCAACAATCAATACTAATAACCATGAAGATATAGATGGATATGAAAAAGCTTTTCAAGTAAGTGAAATCTATTTTTTTCTCAGTTATTTACTGGTAACTTTTGGTTTGTGAATATAAAGATGGTAAAATTAAGTTTATGCTTTAACCTCCCTCCCAATTGTTAAACTCTAATAGGACCAAATCGGTAATAAGGTAGACAAACGAAGCGATAACATGTGTAGACAAGGCAAATTCGCCTATTCAAGATATTTCTCATTACAAGCGATAATATAACGCGAAATAGATAAAACATAGTACGATAAGGAGACAGACATTGGAACTAGGTGTAAGGTGGTAGTTGAATATAGTCCACTGGCGACTCCACTCGACAAAGGTTTCGTGCTATTTGGTACTCGTCAGCAAGACATATGTGTAATCTTGAGGGAACTGATACTCTCTGGTGGATCCAGTCACTCAACTTCACAGTCAGAGACGTTACGATGGAACTATCCGAGCCCTGACTGAACTCTTGTAGGACTGAGATGTATTTACAATCGATGGATCACTGGGTAGTGACCAATATCATGTATGCCAGGTCCTTCTTAGCACACGTCGAATTCTCTCGACCAAGTTGCAATGTAGTCACTAGTTTATGTGACTCGACATCGTGTACTCTATGTTAAGATGTAAGTTGGTGTTTGAATACAGACATACACATTCGAGCACACACGAGACATATTGTTGTTGAATTATAAGGACATAAATATAGGGCGTATACATACTGAAGGTCACAATTCTCTATGAAGTGAGTAAGATTATTAAGAAGGTAAAAATGACTTGGCAGTCACAGGCTGTCTGACTTATTAAAGTCTGTCCAAAGGTTCAGATAATTCACGTTGGTGTGTAATAACAGAGAAACTACTACAATCCCACCTGTTGGATTCAATCAAGCTATGCTCACTTGCTTATCAAAGATCAATTATCCTGTTCAATAGTTTGCTCTGTATTAATTTACAGCTGTGAAATATGGTCTTTTGAGGTTGAATATACGCACTTAGCTTGCTCATACTTAACTATAGATGTCTTCAACGTGTTGCCAGAAAAAGTATGGTAGAATTACCAAGTGAATAACTCCTAGATTAAGCGTAAATCGATTGATGAAATTATGAACCTACATTAATCGGAGTGTTGACCGATCTGTTATTTATGTATCCAGTGACCATCCACCCTGACTTGCTATACTATCTAGGATAAGAATAGAAGTGTGCGGCTCCATTCATCGTTTGTTGTAAATAGTCTAGAATTTCACTTGTTTGATTAGCTATGTGAGTGCTATTGGTGTGATGTATCAATCTGAATAAATATGTATGTATTAAAAGTCAAAGTAGTTCATGTTGACCTAGACTCTCTTTGGAACTAGCAAAACGTCAATCTGTTTCAGTTTTGTTCTAAGCTGATAGCTTCTTTTTTTAACTTTATGACGTCATTGTTGCCTCTGAATAATCTATCTAATTTGTTTTTGACATGATGTAAGCAGTAGTAAGGTACAACAACGACAACCCGTGCTTTGGCGATTGCTCATGTGGTGATAAATATATGATCATTCCCATCTTAAAGTACCGATTTCATTGAATTGAACATACTCTACACGTGTCATCACAACGACTTCTATCCCATACATCATTTAATGATGTTGGCACTCAATGGGAAACCCAGATACAAAGGATCAAGGATGCTTTTTCTGCATGATTATTCATTACTGTTGTGTGAAATACTATAAATAACTAAACTTAACGGTTTGAAAAAGTGTTAACCATACTACTAAGTAGAAGCCAATGATAACCCTATTGTCTTCTGCTTCTAACTACTACACTACTCATTAGTAGTAAGATGTTTAGTTACATTCTTACTAGGATTGTATTATTTAATACTTTCTTTTATTGAAAAGAAGTGTTTCTTCACTTGATTTATGCTTTTCAAAATGTTTGAATTGAAATTTCATCTACCTCCCGATTATTGTTGTTTAAAAACGTAGTTTTATCTTGGTTTCCTCTTTTCTAATTCTTTACAATATTGTCGTTTTGTGTTTTGTTTGAAGCATTTATTCATATATACATAACATTTTAATTCTATTCACTAAAATAGTTTGAATCTTTGTTCAAAGGTACTTTCTTGTTGAATGGTGGCCAGCAGTGGAAATCAGGACACGCGTCTCGTCCTATATGGGACCCGTCACCTGGATATACCTGCATTACAGAGTTGATGTTCACTCCGAGACTGATCAATAAGAGTCCTAAGTATGATTGAGAAGATCCAAACAACCAATATATATATATATATATATATATATATATATATATATATAGTGTTCGAAGACAAAAGTAATGAGTTCAACTCCTGGAGTGAGCATCAACTCTGTGATGCAAGTACATGCAACTGATGAGCTCAAAATAGAAGGAAGCGCACATTCTAGATTCCGCTGCAAATCACCATTCATCTCTGCTTATAATAGTATGGTTTGAATCTGGTGAAAATATGAAAATGAGCAAATTAAGACCGTAAACGTTATATGTCTCCAAGTATGCGTTTATCCTGCTTATCATTTTTATTCATCTATAGTGGTTTTTATAAAAAGCGATTAAATTAAGAGTTGTCTACGAAATTGAGAGGACGAAAAGCGAATGTCCGGCGCTTTAACCGGGTTGGTGGATATGGAGGATTCACCTAGCGGAGTTGGAATACCCTGATTACAAACCAATGGTGTACATGGGCTTCAGTATCCTGAAGGGACAAATGGCATATGAACCTATTGTTGGTCACCGACTACCATGGGACTACATCTCCTTACGATGCTACACCGCCTTGTGGATCAGACCTTTGGGTCGAAGGCTCCGGGTTGGCCCCTTAAGAAAACTACCCGCTTCGGTTTGGGCGCCTGGGCAGTATCACAGCCCTCACACATATCAAATGAGATCTATATGGCGCATATGTATTTGGTGCCTCCTTGTACCAACATCTATGTGTTGAAATACGTAAATAAATAAATAACAACGCATCAGACTGTTGGTCACTAGAATCAGGAACGAACAAGCAACCTCAAGACCACAGCACGTATATAAGAAAAGAGTAGTGTTTATCAAACATAGCTGGTTAGTTTTAATAATGAAAGCGTCATTAGGCAATTACGATTAATGTTCAGGGATTAGGATTTAGGATTGGGACTAATATTAGACTAACCAGAAAGTCTAGTCCCGTTCATAAATCAAAACCCTAAATCTTTATCCTAATTCTAACTGTAATCATGTGCTTTACTGCCTAATTTGAACTTTAACTCTGAACCTCAAAAGCATTACTCTCTAATCTTAAATTCTAACCGTCAAACATCAAATCTTAACCATAAATTTCAGACCTTAATCTTAAATCCTAATCATATGACCTATATCCAAATCCTAACACTATAAATTCTTTGTATTAACTAAGTGGGATTTAAAAAAAATTGTCAACATTAGCATAAGAGTCACTCAAACTTGCCTATAGTTCCATCAATATTTCTATTGTTACAGATTTTGAATTCATACTGGTTACAAGTGGTCTGAATTGAACGGTCAACATAACTTTCAAACCAACAAATCACTACTATAGTAAACGAGTATACAAATGGGGACATTCGAATGTATTTGAATACAAAATTATAGAACATCTTAGTAAAATCTAAGAACCATACAGTAAATACTTCATTTGCAAAATGTTTATCGTCTCTGACTTGATTGTTCCTTCATTTCCACACCAATGATTCTTTTTTCTTATTCTCTTTTCTTTGATCTTCTTAACCTTCTGCCTCCAGGCATTTCACTTTCAATCGATGACACATACTACTTATATCTGTTAACATCAGTAGCACATACTATACTACTTATTTTTTGATTTTATTTCAGATTAGTTAAATGTGTATATAAAATGTTATACGAAATAATCATAGTTTAATGTTCATTCATGTTATGTCAGTACAAATTTATTCAGTTCTATCAGATGACATTGAATGCTTTAATGTTTTTTTTCGGTCTTCTAATCATCTGACATAATGTGTATTACATTGAGTTTGTTTTTATTGTATTTCTACTTTATTATTTTCTCTGATAGCTTGTACCGAATGGTGAAGTCAATAATCAAGTACTTAATGGTCGTTGGTTTGGTGATGCATTTATATTTACAACACAAGGGAATCGTTTATGTTATTTTGTCGGTGGTGAAGTATTCACATTAGCTTTATTAGATCGTCCAATGTATTTATTAGGTTATTTAGCAAAAGAAAATCGTTTAATTCTAGGTGATAGAGATTTACAGGTATGTTTTTTTCCTATGCTATGTGCTTATCCGAGTTTCAGTATTCTAAGTTAACATTTGAAATAAAATAGATTTGTAAATAATTTCTGAATCGATATAGCTCATTGAATAAGATTCATGTTACTTCATTAGTTTTGACGGTGTTTCATTCTTGGATCTAGTTATTTTATCCATGAAGCTTTCTGATCATGTTTCATAGGCAACAATTCAAAATGAGGTTGAATATCAGAAGTAGGAAAGCTTGGATGCAGCTAGATGATTTGGATTTCGCAGATAACCTACCCACTTCTGTCCCATGTGTAGGAACAAATCTAGGTGAAGATAGTCAGTGTAGCATCAGCTTCTGTACAGCAGACTTCAACATGCACATGGGAAAAGACAAAATCCTTAAGTAAAATACGGAGAACACCAACCCAATCATGTTTAATGAAAAAGCTCTAGGGGATGTGGAAATTCATTTTCCCAAAAATGATGCATTTACCAAGTGATTTCTATGAATTTAGCATCCAGAAGGGAGACATTGAGTAATAGCGAGCTATGATGTTAATTTACATTTATGATCTTTAAAAAAAACTAATTTTTCATTCACCTCTCTTTCTCCTCACTTCATATCCTCTCTGACGATCAACCATAGATTGTTAGTTATACTCTATTACTCAGTGTATTAGAATATGAAACAGCGGTATTACGTGGAGATTTTACAACTGCTGATGCTATTCTACCAAATATATCAAAAGATCAATATACAAAAATTGCTCAATTCTTAGAGAAACAAGGTTATCGAAAACAAGCTATGCGTGTCACTACAGATATGGATCATAAATTTGAATTAGCCTTACAATTAGGAGATTTTGAATTATGCCAACAAATTGCCATGGATGGTGATGCTAAAACAAATGAAGCTAAATGGAAACAAGTAAGTTAGTTAGTTTATTAAGTAGTGTGTCATTTATATACACCTAAACGATGTATATCATTATGTCTTGCTGTAGTTGAAGTTCAACGGAATTATTTATTCAACCGATGTAATAGAATTTTCCACATTGATAGTTTGTGAGACTATTTTTAGTAAACAGGAGTTGTAGAAACTGTTGAATGTTTTATTTCAGATTATGAGTTTAGTTTAGTCAGATAACCATTGGAAGCCAATGAGTAGTGAACAACTATTTCGCATGAATATGGAACTCTTCAACTCACTATATTTATTTATTTATTTATTTATTTGAACACATAAATATTGGTACAAGAGAGCGCCAATATATATGCGCCACACAAAACAATGAAAATTCGAAGAGAGAAAAGAAAAAGAAAAAAAAACTAAGGAGCACAAAAGAAAAAGAGAACGATAACAAAGAGATTGGTGAAAAGTAGTGCGGTCGTAACGATGGAACGGAAAGGTACAATCAGAAGAAATCTTTCAGTTAAGGAAGAAACAACCACTTTTTATGAAGAAAGTAAAAGAAGGCTACAGCAGGATCGGCACTGGCTTCTATTCTGAGCCATATATGATAACGTCTCTAGCCACTGTGTAGCACCATCTCTCAGACCCCAACCAGGGAGTCGTGAAGGACCGACAGAAGCCAGTCCTTTGCAGCTTTCTTTCATACCACGACACCATGTCATGCACTGACCACCTCTCCGCTTTTTCCAACCAGTCCCAGAGTCGGCAAATAATGCACGACGTGGAATTCTCTGGGACGACATTCGTAGAACATGTCCAAGCCACCGAAGTCGGTGTTTCAAGATGGTAACACCAATTGAATTATCATCTCTGTGCCCGAACACACGATGCCGAACCTCTGCATTACTGACATGGTGTTGCCACTGAATATCAGCAATCCTTCGGAGACAGCGATGATCGAACACAGAGAGTCGTCTAACGTCCTCAACTCGGAGAGACCATGTTTCACAAGGATAGAGCAAAACTGCTCTCAACTCACTAGGGGTTTTCGTAATACCTATTATTATTATTTTAACACACAAATATTGGTACAAGGAGGCACCAAATACATATGCGCCACACAAGTCTCATTCGATATGTGTCAGGGCTGTGATACTGTCCGGGTGCCCAAACCGAAACAGATGGTTTTCTTAGAGGGCCACACCCCGAGCCTTCGACCTGATGGTCTGATCCACAAGGCAGTGGAGCATCGTAAGGAGATGCAGTCCCATGGAAGCCGGTGACCAACGATTGGTTCATACGCCATTTGTTCCTTCAGGATCATGGAGACCATGTGAACCATTGGTTTGGAATCCGGTTAAAGCGCCGGACATTTGCTTTTCGTCCTCTCATTTTCGTAAACAACACCCCCGCCACGAGAAGGCAGTGAGTAGGACTTCCCTGGCAGAGGCTATATACGCGTGGCCATGTGAGAGCATTTCGAGAGGGAGAACGGACTGTCCCCACTCTCGGCCATACCAGGGCATTTGGGGGCTAATACCTATGAAAATGCTGGCTTTATATTTTTGACTTGAAACTGTACTCTATACAAAATACAACAGTTACATTCCTGTGGGAGAGTGGTGTTTGTCAGCATAACAAGTCTAATTCCCTACTTTGACTACCACCAATTTTTGCTTATTCAATTCTCCGGAAACTTATTTATCACATGAAGTAAACTAGTAAGATTAAATTTCTTGTGAAGTGGGATGATTTCTTGCTTAAATTTAAGACAATCAACTCATTGATAACTATTTGTATAGTGTTTATTTCAGAAAGTAGTGAGACTATATTTATGAACGATGCTAAAGTGACTCGCCCATTTGCTGTTTATTTATTTAAACACAAGCATTGGTATAAGCAGGCACCAATTATGTATGTACCATAATTCTTCATTCGATTTGTATGAGGGCTGTGATACTACTCGGTCGCCCAAACCGAAGCACGTGGTTTTCTGAGAGGGCACACCCCAAGCCTTTGACTTAGAGGTCTAATCCACAAGGCAGTGGGACAACGTTAGGAGATGAAGTCCCGTAGCAGCCGTTGACCATCAATAGGTTGACACTCCATTTGCTCCCTCAGGATTCTGTAGCTCATGTGCACCATTGGTTTGGAATCAGGATATCCCAACTCCCCTATGTGGAACCTCTCTGTCCACCAATCCGCTTAAAACATAGAGTATTCGCTCTTCGTCCTCCCAATTTCGTAAATAATACCCCCTCCACGAGAAGGCAGTGGATAAGACTTTCCTGAAATTGACTGCATACACGTGGTCATGTGGAAGCATTTGAAGGGAGAGGGCGGACTTTCCCCACCCTCTTAGTACGAAGGCATTTGGGGCAGTTACAAATTAGTATGAGGAATATAAGGTTAGGATTTAAAATCAAAAATTTAGGATTAGGAATTAGAGTTAGGGTTTTCATTGGGAATTGACATCAGCTATAATGCCAAAATGCTACTTAACTATATGAATAAAAAGATTCCGTGCCAATATCCAAAACTTGCTATCTTAAATATTATTGGTTCATCTATAGTAGTTTGCATTATCTGTTTACTGATACTCATCACTTAAATTTATTCAGTTTTTAATTATCTAGACTCATTAGTTCAGTGGGTAATGCACTAGGGATTTGAAGGGAAAAGTACTGTGTCCAAAATGTTACTATCAACACCGGGATACAGGTACATCCAACTACTGAGTATACGTGTCCTGGATTCCATTTCTAGTTACAATCCATCTTGTTTATAAAAGTCTTGTGAGAAAATGGTTGTGTTGAGGCAATCGTTTCAGGTTGTACACATGCAAACTAAAACTGATCAAAATCTAATTATGAATATAAACAAAATTGTTATTCAAACCTCCACAAATAATATTTTCAAATGATATGGAACGATACACTATAAACACTCATGATAAAACTCGATGAGAGAAGTAAAAGTTCCATCAAATTTCTGCTGCCATCAAACTAACAAAGAAGTCTATCGCTATGCGAATCTAAAATGATTTCATTGAAATCTTCAGATTATTATGATTGATTGTTTGTAGTTAAGCGTTAATCTCAATGTTTCAGCAAGGAAAGTATTCGAGCCATTTATTCTATATGGAATAAATAGATTGTGACTTGCAGTGGAGTTTTGAGTGCACGTTTAACCCTATTCGAGACTCATCACCTGAATATACTTGGATCCCAACATTAGCTTCCACACCGAGATCCTACATTCTTGTTAAAATCAGCTATTACACGCTTTAATAATAATAGTAATAGTAAACTGCTTTGCATTCTTAATTAACAAATAAAACCCTCTTGCTTTACATTCACAAATGTATTCAGTTAGCTGAAGCCGCTTGTAAAGCTTGTAAATTTAAATATGCTGAAGAATATTTATCACGTACAGACGATTATGCTAGTCTAATGTTATTGGCGACAAGTTCAGGAAATCGTAAACTACTTGAATGGATTGGCAAAGAATCAGCTACGAAAGGAAATGATAATATTGCTTTTCTAGCACGTTTTCTTGTCACTGATTTGGAAGGTTGTCTTGAAGTAAGTTTATTATTAATATTATTATTTTGCATTGTAATCATTTTTATTTGTGGTTTTCTGCTTTTTTTGTGTGTGTGTACGCGTGTGGGTAGGGGCGGTTTTTTTTTACACTTTTAAAACCTTCCCACACCCTACCGTAGTTACTGCCCTGACTTTGATGATCGAGCTTCCATATCGTGATAATTTAATCAAGGTTTATCGACTTGAACTTGGTGGCTTGATTGATGCGACATAGAACTTTGTAAAGTATTATCATAACAATCTTCATCAACAGAGGTGATTGAAACACTACCACCACCACTACCTATCTCGACAGATAATGTTGGTTGGTGTTTTAAGTAGGTCGGAAGAAAGTTAGGTACGGTCAAACTAGTTCATAAAGGCACTGACTGTTGGACTGAGCTAAGTAAGTAGATATAGACTACTTGATTGGGTTCCACGTGATTATCGTAACCAATGGTTAGAGACTTTGAATGACATGGCTCAAAATCATTTGTAATGGCGCAGGTGCATCCATTCTTTGTCTGTTCTTAGTTTTTAAATTCCCCATAAACTTTATAGTATTTCATTAATTTATGTTTATATATATCTTAGATGCCTAATGTTTTCTATAACTTTTATTGGTTGTATTACTAACTCTACTTCTCTTGGATTTTGCCTGACTATCCCATCTTGCTGTATTAATGAGCCATTGCAATTGGAACCGGTGTATACGTATGTTAAGTTCTGTGTTGCGTTTAACTGTTTGAGAATAGATTCTATTTTAGCTTGTTCATTGTCGATTAAAAGTTTATAATATGATATAGGTTGTTGAGATATGAATCTGTTATTATATAACACTGCAGGGTATCCTCAATCTAAATGTATTCGAGCTCAAGTGAATGTGTAGTTCAGGTTTTCTATGAAGCTCATACTCCATATGATTAATTTGAATGCATGTTTTTTAATTGTGTCTCTCCTTCAACCACACAAATAATTCTATCTATTCCATATGGTTACACCAATAAATTCATTAATTATCATCCTATAAGAGTAATTGACTAATGGTATAGGTTACTTAACTTCGAAACAATAAGGTTACGGGCTTATATCTTACTTCTCCTACTTCAATGCAACTACTTACTTATGTCTGTTACCCCTCGTGAAAGAGCATAGGCCACCCACCAGCATTCTCCATCGAATGCTGTCCTGGACAATCTTTTCTAGTTGCTATCCAACCCTTTGCTTTGTGCTTCCGATTCTCAACGCAATGTGTGCCTTGGTCTTCCGCTTCTCATTTCGCCTTCAGGATTCCAAGTTGCCTCGTGATGCAATGTGATGGTTTAGACAGTGTGTGTCCCACCCACTTCCGGAGTCTTTCCCTAATTTCCTCTTCAATTGGAAGCTGGTTTGTTCTCTCACACAGTAGTTTGTTGTCGATGGTATTCGTCCAGCGAATATGAAGTAGCTGGCGTAGATAACTGTTTATAAATGCCTGTATCTTTTTCATAATGGTTTTAGTAGTCCCTCAAGTTCCGACTCCCTACAACAGAACTGTTTTGATGTTCGCATTGAAAATGTTGACTTTGATATTGGTTGACAGTTGTTTCGAGTTCCGTATGTACCCCAATTGTAGGAATGCTACCCTTACCTTGCCAATTCTTGCCTTTACGTCTTCATCGGATCCTCCTTGTTCATCGATGGTGCTCTCCAGGCACGTGAACGTTTTTACATATTCCAGAGCTTTTCCATTAAGTGTGATTGGGTTGGTGTTCTCTCTGTCATATTTGAGGATCTTTCCTTTCCCCTGGTGTATGTTGAAGCCTGCTGTAGAAAAAGCTGATGCTACACTGACTATCTTCACCTAGATTTGTCACTACATATGGGATAGAAGTGGTAGGTCATTTGTAAATTCCAAATCGTTTGGTTGCAATGCACCTAGTTGGACAGTTTCTCTCTATCCCTCATACATTAAAAATGTGAGAGAAAGTCCCTTGCATAACACCGCCCTCTCCTTAATGAGTATGTATTACACTAATTATTTGTTAATTTATCTCAATTATTTAATTAATTTTTTGCTTTTTACTTCTTATCATATTTTTTCCTTAGTTATTAACAAATGCTAAACGATTCCCTGAAGCTGCATTTTTTTCTCGTACATATTTACCAAGTTATATGCCTGAAATAGTTGAACAATGGCGTAATTGGTTAGATAAATCGAATAAAGCCAGTGCAAAAATTGCTAATTCTTTAGCTAATCCAAAAGATTATCCAAATTTATTTCCAGATCTCGAGGTATGTTTACTGTCAATCTCCTATATACATATATATGTGTGTGTGTGTGTTCGTACAGAAAACACCTTTGATTAGTATACTTTCTCATTTCCCCGTCCCATTTGTATTATAGACCTATTGGTTCTTTTCTATTCACTATCTTACAGTGTATACTTGAAAACAGGAATCCTCGTAATTTCTATGATACGAAGTGAAAATACAAACATTGGTACAGATGATGAGTTATTGACTTTAACTCTCTCTCTCTCTCTCTCTCTCTCAAATGATCCTAGAACAAGTCCTCACATAGTAACCTGTTCAAAATCAGATCATCATTAAACCAATTATACTCATATGACTGATTTTACAAACACGAATGTCATAGGATCATTAGTTATTAAGTTTATTGATGAACAGTTCACTAAATATAATAGATAACACTAACGATTACCTTCAATTTACCTGTGGTCCCCATTAAGCTTGCTATTGCTGATTAAGCCCCCGAATGCCCTGGTAAAGTCGAGGGTGGGGAGAACCAACTCTCCCTCTCAAATGGCCACGTGTATACACCCACTGACAGGGACGTTCTACTCACTGCATTCTCAAGGCGGGGGTGTTGTTTACGAAAATGAGAGGAAGACAAGCAGATGGATACAGAGTATCTATCTAGGAGAGTTGGAAAATCCTGATTCCAAACCAATGGTGTGTATGGGCTCCAGGATCCTAAGTAAACAAATGACGTATGAACTTATTGTTGGTCACCGACTACCATGAGACTGCGTCTGATGATGTTACTTCACTGCCTTGTGGATTAGACCTCTAGGTTGAATGCTCCGGGTGTGGCCCCATAAGAAAAGCACTTGTTTCAGTCTGGGCACCCATGCAGTATCCCAGTCTACACACAAATCAAGTGAGTTGTGTGGCGCATAGGTATTCGATGCCCCTTTGTATCAATATTTATGTTTTAAATAAATAAATGCATGAAAACCTTCTGTTCAGTTAGGATGCCAAAAACGTCAAAAAGCCAATTTACTTTTTATATTCATTACTTAAAATATCATACATCAATTACAAAACTACAATGTCTCATAAATAGACAATCACAATCTGTGTATAACTAGGGCATTTACGACAGACAACTCAATAATACAGGTATATTATTGACTGATTACAATTTCTTTACGGTAAAATATGTATCAACAGTTAGTGTGTCAAATGAAAGCTTATATTAATGGCCATACAGGAATACTAAAAGCCAATCACTGAATAGAGTAAATCAAATGTGGCTAGCAGTAAAATCCAGGACACGCGTTTCGACCTATATACTGGATGTACCTGCATCCCAGCGTTGGTGTTCACTCCGGGATTCACATCTAGTACCTCCTCAAAGTCCCACTTTTTCACTTATTCACCTCTAACTAACACTTACAGTTTTCATGGTTTGTATTTTTCAGGCAATTATGTGTTAATTTGTAATTCATTTGTAGTTATCATTTAAATCTTACCATTGTTGATGTTAAGGACTGCAATTGACCAGTCTCTTTTCTATATATAATCATGATGTTCGGATTGCCATTAAAGTCATAAGAATATTGAGTAGAGTTTGGGTTGTAGTTATTAGTAGAATCCAGGACACGCGTTTCATTCTGTTTCGGACTCGTGAGCTCTAGTATTTGAAGTAAGAGTCACTGGGTTCAAGTTTTAGTTTAAACATCATCAACACTGGGATGTATGTTGTTCATCCTACCGACCAGTCCCAAATGAGATGAAATACGCTTCCTGGATTCCACTACAAGCTAATATGTAGTCTTGATTATTCCAAAGTTTTAATTGTTTATATTTGTAAAACAATATATCTTATCTTAACCCGATGATCTTAACAGATTGTCTTTGTTCATTGAGTGTTGCATTACACACAAAAATATGTTGCGAAAACATTCATTTTAAAGAATTGTTAGATTCAGATTATTAGTTTTGATTGTTATTGACTTCTTTTAGGAGGCTTTATCCACAGAAAAATGGTTAAAAGCTGATAGAAAAGCACGTTTAAATTTACCCGCTTCAGCTTATCCAACTCAACAGTTACCAGGTGATCGTGATCTTCACGCTGAAATGCAAAATAAATCTGTCCTCATAGAACCATCATCATTTGATGATAAATTACCGTTTCATGCTAATTTAATTTCAACAACTACCATAAATAATAATAATTATATACCGACTATTGAAGAACAACAACAGGAAACTATTTCACCGTCTGTTGTTATCGCTCCAACAACACTACAATCGAATAGTAACAATCGAAATGATTCTGGAGATAGTGAATTAGACTCAGTCAAGTTGATCGGAGATGAGGAAGAAGACGAGGAAGAGGAAGCAGATGAAGAAGAATTGGACGATGACGACGACAACGAGGAGGAGGAAGAGAATAACAATAATGATCAAGTGGATGTTGAAAATGAACAAATTGAATCTTGGTACGATGATGATGATGATGAAAGTGATGATAATATCGTCGACGAGAAACCTAATAGTGGTTTAAGTGGTGAAGTGAAAACCACATTGTCTGGAAAAGGGAAATAGTTTAAATATAAATATTTTCTACTTTAATATTGTGATCACTGTTATTTACTACGAATTGATTTACTTTCTGTCTATTATTGACTTTTTGTTAGTCTATTGTTCTTCTTTTATTAGTTTTATGTATGTTTATTTGTATACTACTGGGCTTGTTCACTAGTTTTTGGTTGTTTGTGAGGTGGTTATGCAGTCTGATAACAACACATTTATACATAATATACAAGTGTATGTATATTTTCTTTGTTTTGATATTATATCACAATCAACGATGATCTCACAATATATTGAATTAATTGAAACTAGACATGCACACTATTGAATGTCGACTCGTTGGTTTGGAGATGAAGCGTTCCCTCATGACAAACTAAAAAAAAACACATCCTTGATTCGATTTCTTGTGACAGAGTTGTGGGTTCGCTCTGGTGTATATTATTATTATCATCAGCTTTATTCAATATTATATTTTTGGTACAATATAGAATTCTCAGCGTAAAGTATTTCAACAAGTTTCCATTTCTTTCTTCTTGGTCGGTCCTGGCGATAAATATTGAGTGATCACCAGTTAGATGTTAGCAGTTCAGTAAATGAACATCTGAATAATGTGCGTTCTTTTCGTTGTATATTGCCAGCAACCACATTGTCTCTTATTGAATTTTTTGTAACTTTGACAACGAAAGGTTGTACACTTTTCAGAAACGCAGCAGAATAGTTTATGCGATTTATAAACATAATGATATATTAAAACAAACAAGTAGATAACTTGTTGAAGTATCTAGATGACAGGAACAGGTAGCCCAGATGCTCAAGCAGGCCGTCCTTATTAGAGTTCCATATACTAGAACGAAACAATTATTCAATGCTTCCTGGCGTTAAGTAATGGTCTAGCTAAGATTAGTTCATGATTTAAAATAGTGAACGATCTGTTCCTTTTCGAAAAAGAAAGTTTCAAGTCTAAATACTCTTCAGTATATTAGTACTTAGCATATCGACAATTCGCTGTTAATCGCGTTGGCTATTTCATTTGTCTGAATAAGTATTATCAGTGGCTAGGAAATATTATTACGGAAAAAGGGGTCCTTATTTGGTTAGGTTTGGGTGATTTAAATACTTATTACAGGTATATATATGCTTTATGATTTTTTGGATGACATTATGCAATAGTATATTTCTGACCATATACGAATCTTTCTTAGCATTGACTACATTTGGTGAATCTATTAACCACTGAGTTCTCGATACGGGAGATAAGTTAGTTGCTGAATGAAATTGGCTGCATTATTTATGTCAAATTATTGATATATTGTAATGGTTGGGACATGTGTTACGTATGACCGAACACAGACTGCCTCGACGTGCTATGCTTTACGGTGTAGGAGTAGGTTGGAAGAAAGCTAGAGGCGGCCAGACCAAAACATGGCACAAGTCCATGAAGTCACTGACAAGTGGACTGAGACATGTTGGTAGGTGTAGACTACCTGGTTGGGGACCGCGAGATGATAGCAACCGATGGTTAGAGACCCTAAATGACATGGCTCAAAATCTTTTGCGATGGTGCAGGTGCATCCACTCTTTGTGTTCTCCCAAACCTTAATCCTCTGGATTCTTCATATCCCTTGTTCTCTTTCCAAATTTATTTCACTGGATTATAGTCCTTGAATAACATCTTCAAACCTTAATGTTTCCGATTACTGATTATACTCATACTACCACTACGGGATTTGAATCGACAAGACTATTACGTCTCTGTGCTAATGTGGTGTGGCAACTCGAACTGATGTACGTACGTACGAAGTTCTACGTTGTTACTGACTGAATGGTTAATAGTAAATAATTCCATAAGTGACTAGGTGTAAACAATTCACTGGGAAATCTTCAACATGTCCAAAGTAGCAGTTTGGTGTTCTATTCTCTTAACTAGATCGTTTAATTACAGAGCATTCATTGTCTTTTTGGAGGACATCACCAGCACCTACTTCAGGTCGGAACATTGGTTTGAATTTGCTTTTATACACGGAATCATTTCAGCGTCTTTCATCAAAGATGTGTTGACCTATTGAAAGAACGTATCTTAGTGTATAAATGAAATCGTCAGTGTATTTTGATACGGAGGCTGCCTCATCGACTAATGATCAACATGAGCGTGTTGGTCCAATCCGCACTCTTTTTTTTCTATTTCCAGCCCTGAGTCCGGAAGCGAAGTCGCCCTCCAAACTTTTATTATTTCAAGCACAGGTGGGTTTATGCATAAATATTCTGGACCACACGCACTGCATCATAAAATAGGTCATAGTTGTAGACAAACAGGCGGAAAGTTACTGAACCGGGCACTGTTAATAATTGATTAGCTATGCAGTAGGAATAATGTGTACAGCAATTATCTGTGTGTCGGACAGAAGTTTGCAATAAACGGAATATAGAAACGCAGTGTTCAAGTTATCTAGTAATTGCGCAATAAGAGTATATGTAATAATAGTCCATAAAATGGCTTCGGTAGCTCTTCAATTGTCGTTCTGACACATTTGCTATCTCCAAAGCATTGCTGGCATTCTTCGTGAACACGTGATGTTACTTACGCTGAACTGAATGGTTGCATTGCAAGGTTTTTAATGCCTTCTTAGATATCAGCATATCACAAACGAACACAATCTCAATGCATTTTTATCCAAATCGAGGAATACAACAGAGAAGTAAAGAAAATAACTGAGCGAAGTGTTACACTAGTCAAATGGGATATCGTCTCATCTGCGTATACGTTAACGAATGTTAGAATTTCAAAACTAGCTTTGAAATTAGCCATCTAGTTTACACCACAATAACAAAATGAAGTTTTCCAATATGGTACAGTTTCAGATTTAATTATGTTACGTGATTTTAAAAATCTTAATAATATTCAAGTTAATATAGTCTATACATCTACGATAGCTGGTTTACTTATTTCGGATCGTACAACACCCAGTGCCAGAGTTGTCATGTGAATTCGGATTTTACAGATTATTTGAGCTATTCTCTCCTCCTCATGATAAAGTAAATCTAGATATTTGATATTCCACCATCTATAAGCTTGTTACTTGAAGATTTCGGCTAATGTCAATATGTTATATTCGTAGGTTACTAGTATCTGACCATGTGTTTGATGCATATTTTGGGATTATCAAGTGAACAATTTTGAGGTTGAACGTAGAGTCTTGGAGAATTGTGGTGCATCGGTTTCGAATCTCTATAGATTTATGCGGCCAGGATATGTATTACGTATAATCAATCATCGCCTACATCGATGAGTAATGTTTTTGGGTTGGGGTTGTAGGAATAATAGAAGTGGCTTTAACTGAAACGCAGTCTCATCCTTTGAAGCCACTGATAATTGTATTGAGAAATGTTAGTAAATGCAGACTGGTCAGTCGGTATCCGAGCAGTTGTGTTGTGTCAATTGCCGTTCTTTCCAGTCCGACACAGAACGTGCTCGTACTTTGTAATTGTATTGTATGCTTGAATCGAACCTGATTCGAAAGATTTATATATTCAAACATAAACATTGGTACAAGGCGGCACCAAACAGATACGCGCCAAATCACTCGATTTGTGTGAGGGCTGGAATACTGTACAGGTGCCTAGACCGAATCAGGTGGTTTCCTTAGGGGGCCACACCTAGAGCCTTTGACCTAAAAATCTAATCCACAGGACAGTGGAGCATCGTAAGGACATGCAGTCTCATGGTAGCCGGTGATCGCTGATAGGTCCATACGCCATTTGTTTACCTAGGATCCTGGAGTTCATGTACATCGTCGGTTTGGAATTAGGGTTTTCCAACTCCCCTAGATGGACCCTCCATATCCACTAACCCGGTCAAATCGCCGGACATTCTCTTTTCGTCCTCTCAGTTTCGTAAACAATACCCGTGGTGCGTGGTCACTTGAGAGCACTCCCGTCTGTATCAGCGCATTTGGGGGCAAGTTTATAAAAACTGGTTGCAGACATTCGATAAGGTGGTTCAGAACTGGTTTAGATGACATCAATGCATTCATTCTTTATATTTCCTTAGATTTTGAGTTTTAAAATTATCCTATATATATACTCTCGAACGATATTGTCTATACCCAACTTTTTCTTACTAGCACTTATACTACTACTATTAATACTCTGATACTCATCTTGATATTGCTACGCTAATGTTATGGTATGACAATTTGATTCGATGGACTATTGTCTAGATGTATGTAGATTATGATTAATCCATATTACTGAAATGATTAAAAACATACTTCAAAGCAATGTGTAAAATTAATTTATTCTACCATAATATTGTTTACATACATACATACGTACACACACACACAGTGGCATACACATTGCAAATTAATCCATTATCCATTAGTAACCAATAAAAGAGTGAACCAAGTCCCTCAGAGATAAATTAAAAGAATAAAAAAGAGAGAGAGAGAGAAAGAGAGTGGGGGGATCAAAACTATATTATTATTAACCAATTAGAAACGAAAAGAAATTAATGTGTAAAAACGTACACAAAAAAAGAAAGAAAAGAAAAGAGAAAAGACAAACAAAACAAAATAAACAATCAATATCTGAAATTAGAATGAAAAAATATTATTATTCCATGATTAAATTATAAAACATACGTAAAATCGTATCATTCTTTTCTCTTTATATAAATATAAATATCAAAAATGATTGTACATTAACCATGTACATCATACATAACGATAAAGAACATGTATGGATCTGTTCAATTAGTTGCCATAATGAAGTAGTACAATGATGATGTTTTGTTTCTGAGTGGGTGGGTGGTACGGGGAAGACATGAAAGCAAAGATAAAGAGATTTTGTAAAGGAATCAAAACTTACTACTTACACAAAAACACACATCATAATTATTATCAATGGAGGGTGGTAGTGGTGGTGAGAGAAATAATAAAAATATAATGAACAATAAAGCAGACATATCCCCTTTATATGCGCCCCAGGGTAACCCAAACCACAAAAAACAAATTAGAATAGGGAAGAGACAAACCAATAAAAAAAAGTGATAATAAGGCTTCTCTTCACATGATTGACCATTACAATTATGTTTACAGTTGTATGTGTGTGTATGTGTATGTATATAGGAGTGGGGATATGAAACAGAAGACAAAAATAATAGATAATAACCTGTAAAATTATTCACAATTGAGCATAAAACACACACGAATTAATTCTTTCCCCCCTTCTCTCTATCTCTCTCTCTCGCACACACACACAGAGACAGATAAATCTCATCAAAATTGTGCAACATATTGAAATGATTTCTCTATAAAAAGAAAATTATCACAGTTGTTGATAATATTGATAAAGAAGAAAATGAACAAAAAGGATACTCACAATCAATCCTCATCATGTTTGCCCCTTCCCCCACCCTCATTTCATTTCTTCTTCTTCTTCTTTTTCCTTTATTCATTTGTATAATTAAGACATAATGTGAATCTTTTAGTCACTGGGATTAGAATCTTATTCTGGTTATAGAATTATAATGATGATGATGATTATTATTGTATACCATTTGTATAATATTGAAAACTATCATATAATTTTGTTGTCACTGAATTTAATGAATTATGAACCATTTGATCAACTAATTGTTTTAATTGTTCTTCTGTACGTGATAATTGAAATCGTTGACGTAAATCAGTAATAGTTCGACAACCATTACCACGAGCAAAACATGGTAATTGTGGACATGTAGCATGAGCTATTTCAACCAGTACACAAATCTATATAGACCCCCAACACCCCATCGAAAAAAAGAAAACAAAAAAGTAATTCAATGAATGAATATACTACTACTTATGAGATAAGTATTAATAATGAATAACATGTATTCATTGAACAAATAGGATCAAATCATGAAGTCAGAGATGATTTTAGTGAAAATTTCCATTTTCACATTTACTTAATTACATACTTATGCCTGTTAGTCTTGATGGAGCATAGGCCGCACACCAGCATTGTCTGACCAACCCATTCTGTTCTGCGCTTTCCTTTCTAGTTCTATTCAGTTTTTGTTCATTCTTCTCATGTATGTCTACATTTCTCAGCGCAATATGTTATTTGACCTTGAGGACTCCAAGTGACGAGTATTTGTGTTGTGAAACTGTTTGGTGCTTTCCTCAATGTGTGTGCTATCCAATTTCAGTGCTTCTTCCTGATTTCTTCCTCCATTAGGATCTGGTTTGTTCTCTCCAACAGTAGGTTGTTATCGATAGTGTCTGGTCAACCGATCCAAAGTATTTTGCATGGACAGCTATTAACAAACACATGTAACTTCTGTATGATGGGTTTCGTAGTCCAAAGTTTCCACCACATACAGTAGAACTGTTTTGACACTTATATTGAAAATTCTAACCTTGGTGTTGGTTGACAGTTGCTTTGAGTTCCAGATCTTTAATTGTAAATATGCTGCTCTTACTTTTCCGATCCTCACATTCACATCTGCATCAGATCTACCGTATTCATCAATGATGTTACCGAGATATGTGGAGGTTTTTACATCTTCCAGAGCTTATCCGTCAAGTGTGATTCGGTTGGTGCACGTTGTGTTGTATCGGAGAATCTTGCTTTCCCCTAAGTGTATTTTGAGACCTACTGATACTGCTGCTACACTGGTCGTCTTCTCCTGCATTTGTTGTTGCGTTTGAGATAAAAGGGCCAGATCATCTGTGGTGTCAAGATCGTCCAACTGCATCCTAGCTGTCCACTGTATCCTATGCTTCACCCGGATGTTCACGTCTTCATGATCCAGTGGATCACCAGTAGAAAGAGAAAGGTTGAGAGTAAGCAATCTTGAGTGACACCACTCTTTACTTCGAAAGACTCTGTCTATTTTGACATTTGGTAAAAGAAAAAAGGAAAGAATCGAGAGAAGAAATTTCCTTTCATTTTTTTATTATGACTTCACATTTGAGCGATCCCGGTGCTTTTGGCTGATGAGTCTTACATAGGGAAAGACGAGAGAATTGAATTCTACTGCTAGCTACATTCCATTTATTCTATGCATAGTTTTTCTTTAAGAATGCTAAATTTAGTTTAATTCTAGTATATTTAGGTATTCAAACGAGTGATGTGCTCAAACTTTGACGCAACGTTGTTGATTAAGTAAACATGTATTTTTACATGTAAAACGTAATTGTTGGAACTAAGATGATGAATGAAGGGATGAGAGTTCGAACCTGAAACTCACTGTCATCCAATCAGGGGAATCGACAGACTAAACTAATGTATATACATATCACTTGTCTGTGTTAAAATGCTAAGTAAGAAATTCTAAATAAGACACATTGTTAGGAATTTCAATCTACATGAACATATCTGTTGAGATGGCTTCGAAAAACATGATGAAACTTCCAGAGGCTTTAAAAGACCCAAAGAGATTCTATCTAATCAGGACCTGATAGAGCTTCCTAAAATATCAAAGTGACATGCTACGATTGGACAATAGTAAAAGTTGCCTGAATTATAACCAACACTCAATAATCACCTCCCCATGCGTTGTCCTTCCGATTTGTAACTATGGGGTTCTACACGTTCGATTGACATTATTTATTTATCTTATTCACCAATTAAACTTCTTTTTACGTTTCCATCTTCTTATATATATAATTAAATTTTGTATATCATAAGAAATGTATAATATCATAGCTGAATTGGAAAACGAACAAAAATATATTGAGATGAACTAAAAAGAATGAAGGAAGGTAAAGAACTGACTATCCTATCTTTGCTTATAATACTTGTGACTTAAGATAGTACCGAGGTGTTATGACCTTGAATCGCTTTTTACCCCGTTGATACTTGTTATGACTTGACCTTGATCTGTCTAGTCTAAATTACGACATTGACGCGATAGGCTGAGCGGTTTAACCTTGAGTCTAGTACACGTGAGTTCGAGATGGGGTAGAGAGAACTATTCTAGAACCTGATTGGTTGGCAAGCACGCAAGCGAGAGAAGACAAGACAGTTGGAACACTTAACTCTGAATTCGGATTAGTACAAAAATATACATGAATAAATAAGTGAATATCTTGACCACGACGTACAATAATTTGGAAAAATACAGTTATGCCGGAAACTGGGAATTAGGGTAGAAAGTACGGTGCAAAATATTATGTTTAAATTACAATATTTTCGGAACAAAAAAGGGTATGGTAGTGAATGATACATAGAACGAAAGCTCATGTTATGTAGAATAAAATAGGGACAAAAATAAATATAAGTGTTTTACAGGGTTTGAATGAAATGAATTAACGTCCCAAGAAAATAGCTTTCGTAATTGTCTGGCCTTTTTAATTCCCCGTTCACAACACGAGGCAAATGTGCACAGTATGCACATATGCCAATAAGAGAGACTGATCAATTGCAGTGCTGAGCATCAGTGGGAAGATTCAACTAAACAATACCAAGTGAATTTAAAACTTCACCCCATTGCAAAAACAAGTGGCTATCAAGACTCAGTAGATAAGTGGATAAAGTGATGGCGTTTGAATCAAACGGTACTGAATTCGAGTCCTGAAGTGAACATCAACTTCTGGGATGGAAGTACATCCAGCTGAGAAGTCCCAAATAGGGTGAAAAACGCGCATCAAACTGGATTCCACTGTTAGCCACTATCTATCTTTACTTATAAAGTTTGTGAATTAAGACAATATCGAGGCAAATACACACAGTATGCAATGCACATATGCCAATAAGAGATAGACTGATCAATTTTAGTCCTAAACATTAATGAGATGATTGAAATGAACAATACAAAAATGGATTATTCAAAGAACTAACCTGTTCCATATGTTTACGTGCAGCTAATAAACCACGTAATAAAAGAAATTTAAAATATTCAAATAAATCACTATTTAAACCACCCATAACATCAACTTGTTCTAATGTTAATTTAAATGGACTTGTTTCAAAGCCGAAATTTTTCCCCGGTGATGATGATAAAATGAAACCATAATCAATATGTATTACATGACCTTGATTATCTAATAGTATATTACCATTATGTCTAGATAAAATGAAAGAAGAGATAAAAGAGGATGGTAAATAAGAAGATATAGCATAAATCACAGTAATAATAATAGTGACAAAAACTTACATTATACAACCTAGAGTGGTTATCTCGATTCAATAGCTGAATGGATAATTCGATGGGATTTAAAGCAAAAAGTAATTGGTTTGAGTTTTAGAGTGAACATACACTTTCGGATACAAGTAGCCCCCCAAATGCCCTGGTATCGCCGAGAGTGGGGAGAGTCCGCTCTCCCTGTCCAAATGCTCTCACATGGCCTCGCGTATATAGCCAGGGAAGTCCTACTCACTGCCTTCTCGTGGCGGGGGTGTTGTTTACGAAAATGAGAGGACGAAAAGCGAATGTCTGGCGCTTTAACCGGATTTCAAACCAATGGTGCACATGGGCTCCAGTATCCTGCGGGAACAAATGGCGAATGAACCAATTGTTGGTCACCGGCTTCCATGGGACTGCATCTCCTCACGATGCTCCACTGCCTTGTGGATCAGACCTTCAGGTCGAAGGCTCTGGGTGTGGCCCCCTAAGAAAACCACCTGCTTCGGTCTGGGCACCCGGGCAGTACCACAGCCCTCACACATATCGAATGAGATTTGTGTGGCGCATATGTATTTGGTGTCTCTTTGTACCATTATCTATGTGTTGAAATAAATAAATAAATAAATATAGCCTCTGCCAGGGAAGTCCTACTCACTGCCTTCTCGTGGCGGGGGTGTTGTTTACGAAAATGAGAGGACGAAAAGCGAATGTCTGGCGCTTTAACCGGATTCCAAACCAATGGTGCACATGGACTCTAGTATCCTAAAGGAACAAATGGTGTTTGAACCCACCGTCGGTCACCTGCTACCATGGGACTGCATCTCCTTACGATGCTCCACTGCCTTGTGCATCAAACCTTTAGGTAGAAGGCTCTTGATGTGACCCCTTAAGAAAACCACCTGCTTCGGTTTGGGCACCTGGGTAGTATCACAGTCCTCGCACATACCGAATGAGATTTGTGTGGCGCATATGTATTTGGTGCCTCCTTATCTATGTGTTAAAATAAAATAAAAGATCCGACTGACGAGTTTTAAATAAGACAAAACGCTCATCTTGGATCCCAATGCTAGCCATTATCAATTTTTGCACAAAATTACATTAGTTACATTCTAGTGGATATAGGGTGATTGTGTGAACACATTGTACAATAAATTGTTTACTCAGAAGTGATATGTTTGTCGAGTTAAGAATAGGTTGGGGGAAAAGCTAAGAATGGTCAAACGAAGACATATATAGAGCAATAGGTTAGTAGTTAAGCCGTTCAACTTCCAGTCATTATGTCTTGGATTCGAATTTCACTCCATTTAGTTTGGTTAAAGCAACGGAGTTGTATCATTATCCTTCATATACCCAAGTACATGGTGAATGAGTATACATGTTTAAACCAGGACATGGCATCAGATCATGAAATCATTGATTGTTGGTCTTGTCGATAGATACAAATTACCTGATTAAGATCCTCAAGATTAGTAGTCGAAGACTATGTGTGGCATAGTTTAGAATCTGTGAAAATGGCACAGATGCATTCACTTTCTATAATTTTCGCAGTTTTGATTTACAGTATTCTTTCAGATATAACTTTATATTCTGTCTTTTCGTATTCGATTCTCAATGTTCAGTCTTTCTTATAATTATTATCACTATTACTATACTATTCCAATCTCTTTTACAACAGTTCATCTCGTCGTGGTAATGTGGTTGAACCAACGTGTATTGATTATGATTGAGATTTAGAACAAAAAACTACGGAAATATTTATCATTCACAATTGCATGTGGATGTCTTGAAAGTACTTCTAGCATAGTGTAGAACTGAGAAATGAGTAACGTAGGATTACTTATGTTGTGATGAGTCGTGACCGAGAACTGATACTGATACACACTCTTTCAATACATGAGCCTAGCTACTTAAGAAAAAAAAAGTTAAAAAATGAGAAAGAATTTATTTGGCTAACCAAATCGAGACACAATTGTACACTAGTTTAGAATAACCTATCTTTCTATTAATCCTATCAGTAGTTCATATATCAATCCTTGTAAAGTTTAGCCATTCCTTGACCCACCACGCGCACTTATTAGTTTGGCGATTTTTGATTGGCCCACACTATCCATTCTGTGCAGGTATGTGAAATTTGGTTTGATGAGGCCATAAATCTACATTCACTTACGTAGATGACTGGTATCCCCGAGTGTAGAGAGAGTACGTTCTCCCTTTCGAAGTGTTTTCACATGGCCACGCATATACAGTTACTACTAGAGAATTCCTGTCCACTGCCTTATCGCGGTTGAGATTTTCTTTACGAAATTGAGAATGTGGAAGGAGAATGTCCGGCACTTTAATCGTGTTGGTCGACATGGGAGATCTACCTAAGAAAGTTGAAATACCCTGATTACAAACTCATGGTGTACATGGGCTCTAGGATCGTAAGCAAACAAATGGTGTATGAACCTATTGTTGGTCACTGGTTATCATGGGACTACATCTCCTAATGATGTTCTACTACTACTTTGTGGATTGTACTTCTAAGTCAAAGATTCAAGAGAAAAACCCTCCGAGAAAACCATGTGTTTCGTTTTGGGCGATCGGGCAGTATCCCAGGCCACATACAAATTTAATGCCTATTTTTAATAGTGTAATTCGACTGATTATGCAATAGACTTATCAAAAAACAAAACTAATGACTTACCGATCTTTAACTTGAAACAAATAACTGACTAAACAATAAGCAGCACAACTATGTAGAAAATTACGTTGAGCAGTTAAAAACTCTTCAGAGTTATCTCCACCATGTTCACGATGCATATAATCTAATAATGATAAATGAGCATGTCGTTTGATTTGATGAAATGATACAGTATCAGGGACAGGTTCAATAAAACCACTATCAGATGATATAACAACTACAGTTAATGGACGTAACCATAATGGAACATACTCCATTGACCAAATATTCTATTTATGAAAAACAAATAAATACAGAATGTAAATTTGTAATATAAGAATGAATTATTTGGAAAATGTGAAATATTTAAAACTGGTATTTAATTAATTCAATTTCGAAAACTGCCTCCTCGTGGCGAGGGTGTTGTTTACGAAATTAAGAGGATGAAAAGCGAATGTCTGACGCTTTAACCGGGTTGGTGGACATACAGAGTTCACCTAGGGAGGTTGGAAAACCCTGATTACAAACCAATGGTGCACATGGGCTCCACGATCCTGAAGGAACAAATGGCGTATGAACCAATCGCTGGTTACCGGTTACCATGGGATTGCATCTCCTTACGTTACTCCACTGTCATGTGGATCAGACCTTCAGGTCGAAGGCTCTGGGTGTGGTTTACTAAGAAAACCACCTGCTTCGGTTTGGGCACCCGGGCAGTATCACAGCACTCACATATATCAAATGAGATTTATGCGGCGCATACGTATTTGGTGCCTCCTTGTACCAATATCTGTGTTAAAATAAATAATAACTCAAAATCTGGAGGCACTAAAAAGCTTTTTTTTCAAGTATGGGACTATTTATAAGTGTGCATCTACAAGGACTCGAGCCCAAGGAACTTTGGTCTATTGCATGATTTCGAGACCAGTGAACCAGAATCCAAAAGTGTACAAGTCTACGTTCAATCAATCTGTGATACTGGGTGTAAAGTACGATCGATAAACGAACTTACCAATGATAAAGTGAAACGCCCACCACCACATTAACTTTCTTTAACCTGATATGATTACGTATTGTTTATTCACCAATCACAATTTTATGTTCATTATAAAACAATATTTGCTTTTTTGACTCATTTTTCCTATCCTCTAGTTACTGTTCAGTATGTCTCTGTTTTTCCCTGTATTGTTTATTTTGTATACTAACGGTGTTATTTTTATGTTCTAGAAACAGATAAAGTTTATCAAGCCAAATAGCTTAATTGTTCTGACTTTGGCTAAACCAAGACCTTGTGTTCAACAATCTAGAGGATAATTTAGAGTGACACCTGTAGGAAATTGCTTCCTACACTGGGTTTCTGGTCAGTGTTCTAGAGGTTAGGCATTCATCATAAGATGAAAGGTTCAGGTTCCGAGACTCAATGCTGGGGTCATGGATATACACTGCGTCCCATACTAAGACAAAACAGTTATTCAGTGGTTGTCTGACATAAATCGGCATATGATTTCAATCATATTTAACAATCTCTACAATCTCATATTGATAAATATCTATTATTATTATGTAATTATTAAAAATAGTTGGTTTATAATGTTTTAATATTGTCCGAATTATAAGGTCATATTCGAAATATTGTATCGTTGAACACTAACCAAAATTATATGCTTAAGTTATTAATTAGAATTCTAGTCTGAATTTCAGTTTATTCCGTATTTACACTAACATCTCTCTTTTTCTCTCTCTTACAATCTAATGTGTGTCCTAGACTTGACCGTTTATCCTTCTGATCTACATAGTTCATTTCAGTACAAGTTAAGCTAATATTGACCCATTTTATTTGAAAGCTTTTCTCTACATTCTTCCTTGAGTCAACAACTAGCTTCTATGAATAACATATTTCAAGCATATGTTGGTTTATATACAGACATACTGGACCGTATCTCATCGTAAAATGAAAAAAAATCACAACTATACATGAACAAACCAAAAGTAGCTGTGAATAACCGACTGGTAATAAATTAAGCATAATAAACAGTATTATGATAAATTCCCATTGATGCTTAGGACTGCAATTGATCAGTCTCTCTTATTGGCATATGTGCATCCTGTGCGTATTACCTCGATATTACCTTAAGTCACAAGCATTATATGAAAAGACGGATAGTGTCTAGCAGTGGAATCCAGGACGGGCGTTTCTTCAGGACTCAGTAGCTAAGTGGATACAGTGATGGCATTTGAAGCGAACGGTACTGAGTTCGAGTCCCAGAGTGAATATCAACTTTGAGATGCAGATACATCCAACGGATGAGTTCCAAATAGGACGAAACGCACGTCAAACTACATTCCACTGCTAGCCACTACTTATCTTTGTATATAGTATTAGGATAGTTAGTGAGTTGAATGAGAACGTATGATAAACGGAAAAGACAACATAATCTAGTTACATGGTAATTACATAACAAAAATATAAATAATAGTGACAGTAATAATTTGAAAACCAGTTCCAACTTCTACGACATTCATCCTATTGTAACACGAAAAATTACAGTATTTGTTGAAAGCAGACACTTCATGGAATGTTTTAAGAACTACATTGATGATTAGTCTTAGAGGTGTGTATTGGCGGCAATACAATAAACTGACCAAATTTCAAACTCTGAAATTTTTTTAATTTCTTTTCTCTTTCGATGCCCATCTTCATTAAATACGAACCCTTTTGGAGAGATACCAGTTATGATGATTTTGCATTTATGACAAGTTGTAGTCTTGTAATTGATCTATATCATCATCTAAATCTTTAAATCATAATAATGAAAGATACATCAGTTTACTGTTGTCGTTTTTTTCTTCTTTAAAATGGCTGTTATAGAGAGAAAGAGCTTCTTTAGAGAAGTATGAATTAGTATTTCTAAGTGTTATTGATTGAAGAGAAGATTACGGCTTTGATGATTAAGGATAAATGTTGTATCTTTTTTGAAAATAATAGAATCTTGAATTGTACTATCGATGGTATGATCAGACTGTTTATTATGGGAGTTGTATTTTTTTTTCAATCCGATTATCGGCATATTCGTCTATATTGAATGTAGGATCAGTGACCTTCAACTTATGATACAACTCTTTCTGCTAACTAACATCTCGATAGTTGTGAGTGACTTGAGAATTTTAATGTTTATTAGTTCTCAAGCTCTTTTCAATCAGAAGATGAAGATCGAAAACAGATTAACTTTCTGTTGTATTCCTATTCATTTATGACTCCAAATGAATACAATAATAATATTTCAATTATCTGATAACAAAATCAAAGTTACAATATGTATACACCATAACTTAGTCGTAAGTGATAGGAAAAAGAGACAATGAGGTAAAAAAAATAACCAAAGTGTCTGCTCTTTGTGTTCTCCCAAATTCTCCTTGTCTCTTTCTTTCTTCTATTTCCAAATTTATTTCACTGGATCATACTCCTTGGAAAGCATCTTCAAACATTAATCTTTCCTATTACTGCTTATACTCTTATTACCTCTACCACTGCGGAATTTGAACCGACAACTGCATCTCTGTGCTAATGGCAACTCGAATTGATGTACGTACGTACGAAGTTCTACGTTGTTGCTGACTGACTAATTATAAAATAATAAAAATATGGAGAATGATTATCCTTATTATCAGAATAGGTTTTTGGAGATTATCATGTTTTTGATTGAGATCAGTTGATGTTAGACCATCAGTGAAAACCTGAAAGCACTGGACGGCCGTTTCATCCTGTTGTGGGACTGCTCGGCAGTGCGCATCCACGATTCCGCTCGCTGGATTTGAACCCAGGACCTTCAGTTTCGTGCGCGATGCTTAACCTCCGGACCACAGAACCGGCATCCAACGGTGTAAATGTCTAACCCCAACCAATCCACAAAATTGCACGACCACCTTTTATTGTACTGAAGTAGATACCTGTTTTTACCTTAAATGCATTCGCTCCACTGGTTACGAATTCTCACTAGAACTCCGAGAATTCCATCACGAAGCTAGTCACTAGCGAGCACAAAAATCTTGAAAGTTCAACATTTCTTGTATCATAATCAATATGTTGGAAGACAAATTAGTAGTTAGTGATACTTAAAATCTCGTGATCTGATAAGAAGTTTAAGATCAATCAGTAAAAAGAAGAAATTCAGATGAACTTAGAAAAAAGTAGCAATAAATTTATTAATTGATTTTCAATCATAAAAATTAATCAATAATGAGATCAAAATATAAAACTGTCTTTATATTATTAGAAATGATGAACCCGGGAAGTGACGATGGCTGATTTCAGTACTCCAGTTTATCAACTATTATAAGAGTTAAATTATTGGGATGTGATTACACTTAAGGACTACAATAAGTTTTAATTTTAAACGAATAAGAATAATTGATCCATTTTCTAAATTGTTTGTTTGATTCATCCCAATGATGTTTCGAACTGAAATTGATCAGTCTCTCATTGGTATATGTGAATCCTGTAAGGATTGCCTCGATATTGCTTTAAGTCACAAGTATTATAAGCAAGGATGATTAGTGGCTAGCAGTGGAATCCAGGACGCGAACTTCGTCCTATCTAGGACTAATCAGTTGGATGTATCTGCATCCCACAGTTGACGACAACTTCAGGACTCAAACCCATTACGTTCGCTTCAAACACCATAGCATTATCTACTTAGCTAATAACTACAAACTAGTAGCTATATGGACTCAGTAGTTAAATAAATAACGCGATGAAGTTTGAAGTGAAAGGTATTGTGTATGATTCCCGGGTTGAATATCAACTCTGGGATGGTGATACATCCAGCTGATAATTCCCAAATAGGATGAAACATGTGTCCTGGAATTCACTGCTAGCCATCATTCATCTTTGTTTATGATTAAGAATCTTCTAATACAAACAAGAACCAATAAGGACTTGAAAAGATCGGATATCTGATAAATAGAAACAGTTCAACCTTAATAGTCTATATGATAATATAAGATAGAGAAAAGTGAACGATCAGGATAGCTATATACATATATTCCAAACAAAAGTCGAAAACTGAAATGAAACAACACAGCTTATAATATTAAAACACAACAAAGTTATCAGCTACTAGAAACGATAACAACTAATCAGATAACAGTAAATGTTATTGGTAAAATATAAATTAGAGAAATATTATCAAGATTATTCTTTCAAAGAAAGAAACAAGCAATAAATAATGATGAAAACTAAATAACTTGATGGTGGACACAGAGAGTACACCTAGGGAAGTTAGGAAACTGA